ATGGGTTTTTGTGTTCTACTTTGAAATAATTCTGTTAATATTTATTTAAACTAGCAGGCTGCCAAGCAAAGCAGCAAAGGGAGCTATCACAAATCCTTAAAAAAGACACCAATAAACTGTACTTGTTTTGTATTTTTGCAACAGAAAAACAAAGCCTCTGTAGCTCTCAGCATTGCAATTTTCTGAAGCCAAAGATATCTCACCAAAATCTCTTCAATATGCAAATGTAAATCTCTCCCTTTGCCCGTTAAAACATACAAAAAGCGTGTAAACAAACTCAGTAAGAGACTTCATATCAATAACACACTCAGAACTGATGTGTTTGCCAGTTCTGCAAGCAAAATATTTGCTCAGTTGCTCACAGAGTACTGTAGTACTAACCACTGCCATATATTTGCCTTGCACATTTAGAAATGAGCTGAGAATTTGCTCACTTATGCCAGATACTATGTAGTGTATTGCAAACTACAGATCTGATCGTATTTTGTCAGAATTTTATTTCTCAGCTTGATGTTGTAAACAATGAGATCAATGTAAATGTTGCTACTGATTTCAGTAGATAATGGATAACACACTCTGCTGCATTTCTTGTGGTAACATATATCAGGATATTTTCCTATAATACTGATTTTAAAACTAAAGACAACACACAGAAGGAGAGGTCAGAGTTCATAAATCCAGCCTTATAGATTGTATTGGTATTGTATATTTCATTTTATCTTAGCATCTTCACATATGTACTGTGAATTAATATGTGAAAGAGATTTATAATGATTAGGTCCTTACAATGACCATATGGACTGCTAAAAAGGCAAGTGCTAGTCCCTACAGCAGATACTCCACTGAAAAATAACTAGGTTCCCGGCAAATTCTCAAATGTGCCCAAAGTAGCTTAATTCCAGTCCATATAAACACAGTATTTCTGAGATTTCTCATAGCAGCATGACTCTTAAAGCTCCCATTTCACAGATAAAGTTAGAGAAATTGAAAATTTTGTAAGATTCCAATGGACATTAACAACCCATCAGGCCTCAGCAACTCGAAGTCACATTTAAGTGACTGCATCAACACTTGGGCAAAGTCTAATAGAGTTTTCCTATAATAGAGGCTTCCAAGTCTTTCATTGAAATGTCACTTACAGAAAAGTAGCCTAAGAGTAGACCAAAACTTAAGGACTCCTCAGTAAAATAAAACCAGAAAAAGACTGATGCATGGACCTTAGTATTGTAGTACACACTACATCCTAGTTTCTTTACAATAGAAATGAGTATCCAAGTGAGTTGCCCATATAATGTGCTCAAGAAAAAAGTCGGATTGCATTAATAAGACACCCTGCCTTTAATCTCTGTGTTGTATTAAAAAGAGTATTTGACAATGGCTTTATTGAATGACCAGATTCACACCGTAAGTTCAATTAATAAAAATAAAATACTGTTTGCTCTTCCAAGAGTTAGGATCAAAAATGCAGTGTCATGTGTGAATCAAAATAAGGTAAAAGTTACCTTTTAGTGAACAGAATCTAAAGAGAAAAACATTAAAAACTTAAAAACAGAAACCAAATGTCTTTTTCTGCATGATTCCTAAAGGACTCTTTCTAATAAGAAGAATAAAATGTACCTAACCAGACACGAAACCATAAGGAAAGAGCATCAATTAAAAAGCAGATCTTTTCTGTAGTTTGGAAAAAGGCATTTTTGTTATTCAGCATCAGTTATGCAAAGAGAACTATTATCTCTATAAACAGGTTGATATTTCGAATTAAGATGACAAACATTAACTCCTGCAAATATGAGAGAAGAGTCATTCTATTCAACATATTCGAAGTAATCTGGAAAAGAAGTGAACAATAATGTCACAGAGCTTGCTGTTGTTCAACGTGGTAGACAACAGCTGATTACAAAACATTGCAGAGGGAGTTCATTATATGATGTGGCTGGGTGCAAAAATTCATTGTAGATAAATTTTAAAAAATCCATAAGCCTTTCTCCACATACACAGTGATGGACCTTGAAGTGTTAGTACCATTTTAAAACAGTATCTTGACATTACTGCTAAGCCTTCTATGGTGATTTTATGGATCAGGGGTCAAGTAAGTGAACAGAAAATTATTAAGAAAGGAATAAAAAAAACCAAAATGCATATGACTGAATGCTGAGCAATAGCATACAGAAAGTATGACTGCAGGTTTGCTCTACTCTTGTATTTTCCTACCAGGCATTCACAAGTAGCCACTGGCAGAAACAAGATACTGGTACAGATAGACATTTGGTCTGAACACTACATCGGTTGTTTCCTTGACCCTACAATTGCAGGATTTTTTCTCTACTAAACATGAGTTTAGGGGTGCTTCTGCCATGTTGCTTGAGTATTGCACATAAATTTTCTTGTATCCCATAACAAATATTGAGTCCATTCTGAATTTCCATGAAATCACAAGTACCTAACTTTATAAATTAATATCAGTCAAACTCAATAACTCTGATTCTAACTCTCAAACTCATAACTCTAGCCATGCTAATGCAGCTCTAAAGTTTTCCCAAACCCAGAAACATTGGCACTGTGTGCAATTTATTTGATGACTCTGTGCAAAACCCTTAGAAGTGCTGCAGCAATGCTCTGGCTTCCTCCTGCCACAGGAACGATTCACAGGGCAAAATAAAATCAGTTCTCATGTTAAAGAATACTTATCCAGATAGAATAAAGAAAAGGAGTTGCCCATAATTTAGCTTTGCTACTCTCCTGGGAAGCCTTACACTCTCAGTGCAAGGTATGATAGAAACAGCAAATGGTCTCCATTTACCTAAGGGTTTAGATTAAGAGTCAAGTAATAAATGAAGAGGCATGCCTATGTGCAACCTGAGGTGACTGGCTTCACAGTGCTCTCACTTTTTCCTTCCCTCTCTCTCAATTTTTCTTAATAAGAAATACTAGATTCCTTTTTCTATTAGAATTCCAGCACTTTTCTTCAAGGTTGAAAAGAATCGCGATTAATTAAGATGTCAAATCCAAGTAACATAGTTTCAGGCCTACAAAAATACCCTTCAAAATTAACTGTAATCACAGTAATATCCTAATCTTTCCAAAGAAAAGTAAGACAATATAGCTTAGTTCCACTTAGCTCCAGAAGTAAATATTGTCATGGCAGTTCTGTGATAAAGCAGTGCTTTTGCAAGAGAAATAGGGACTCCATTAGTAGAGACAGCTGTTTTCTCAGGAAGAGCAGTTCACTGTTAGATTTTTCAGTGCTCTCAGAATATCAGGATACTTACCCTTTTCCAAAGATGTACACGTGCGGATGTCAAGACATGTTCCAGAACAATCCAAAGCCTGCAACTGATTTCACAGGGACAAAATACTAGTCACTAGACTAACTACATTTGTTCTAGCACATGACAGGCAGCGATCTTACCTTTCTCATGTGAATGGAAGGGTGACTGAGAAAGGAAGAGCTGAGTTGGACTAGAATCTACTGGTAAACTACTGATCTACTGTAGTCTTTCTAGAAAATAAATTCTGGAGGCATAGTGTGAAAGGTATTTTAATGTCAGTATCTTACAAAACAACATTTAGAAATGTTTCATAATCTCAACAAAAGCTTTGATTCTATTAACATTTTTATTGGGGGGCATTTACTCATTTTGATTTCTTTCTTCTCCTCATTTTCAAACAGTTTTTAAATAATCTTTGATACTGAATATTGATATTGAGATCTGTTTAAGAAATTTTCTTAGATCACCCATCAGCACAGTATTAAAGTAATAATGATGAATGTCAAAAAGCCTATATTCTTTCTTTTGCCAGGTCAACCTCCACAGCAGTAATGCAGTATCTCAAAAAGTCATAAAATCATATTAAAAACAATTTGTAAGATTTGTTTCAATTAAGAAAATAACTCAATTTTTATATATTTTAAGAAAACAGAAATATTTACATACTTTTTTTCCCCAAAAAAAGGAGTTTAGACTTTCATGCCCGTTTTTCTTCTATTCCATCTAGCTTCTTGGTTTACTAGGTTATTTTCTTTCTGGGGATCACTGATGTGACCTTTAGGAAAGAAAGACACCAATCTCCTTCCATGAGGAGAAATGTAGCCTCTGAGCCCACAAACACATATATACTTCAAGATGCACAAAATAAATATATTCTTCTTGGCAGCCTTAGAGATAGATGACTAAGGAAAGATACATGTCTTTCGTGGGCAGATACTGAATCTCTTCTGTATTGCAAAATACAAGTAAATAATGTTTTATTGGTGTATATTTTAAGCTTTGGAATTAATTATGTCGAAACACCAAATCTGATAATCAAACTATTACTAAGTGGATTCTGACTATAATGCAAAATTCTGAGAGATGTGTTCATCTTTTTTGCACATAATTGTGTGCTGACACTAAAATAAGAAGACTACCTCCAGGCTTTTGAAAAAGCCCAAACCTCAATTAACCAATGCCTACATTTGCATTTACCTCCCATCTACTGACCCATGTAAATTTGGCAACTTGTCCTCTCTTTAATTTACACTCAGTACTCAAACAAACATCTTATATATGAACTGTGGAGAAGTGAATGGAAAGAATATGGAATAATATGAAATTTTAAAAATATTTATTTTTCATGATTTACTGATACTCCTTTGATATGAGACGTTAACAAGCTAGTTATACTGTGATCAAAACTGATCTATCATCTTAAGAAATATGATTCAAAGGCAAAGAAGATTACAGAGCTCCAGTGCATAGTTTATGTTGTGAGCATGAGGCAAACATGTTTTACTTCAGCAATTTTAAAAAAATCTGTAAGTGTTGTATGTGATAAAGATGACTGTATATCAACATTTTATATCATTTTATCTAATAATTTTTCCCCAAATACAAATATTTTTCTCTAGTCCTTTTGAAGAAATTGGCACTTGAAGCATGTACATAATAATACATCTTGCTGATATTTTAAAATGCCTTTTCAAGTAATAAAAATCAACCTAAAATAAAACATCTTGAATGGGCTTAAAATGTATCTCCATTAGTCTATGCTACTTCAATGTTAAATAATGGGGTAACACATTGTTCCAAAATTGCTCTGAATTATGTAATCCATTAGCTACACAGTGTTTGGACTTCATTTTTTGTTTCGCGCTGTTTGGTACAGCAGTACTTTCTGTCTTTGGCTTCCTGCTGTTTTGGCTTTTCTTTTGTGTAAGCTTATTACTAGCAACCTGTTTTTTATGCTTTGATTTTTCCTCCTCCTCCTCCTCCTCTTCTTCCTCTTCTCCCTTTTTCTCTTCTTCTTCTTCCTCTTCCTTTTTTTCTTCTTCTTCATCCTCCTTTTCCTCTTCTTCATCTTCCTCTTCTTCCTCTCCTTCTTCTTCCTCTTCTTCTCCCTCTTCTTCCTCTCCTTCTTCCTCTTCTTCTCCCTCTTCTTCCTCTCCTTCTTCTTCTCCTTCCTCTTCTTCTCCCTCTTCCTCATCTCCCTCTTCCTCCTCCTCTTCCTCTTCTTCCTCCTCCTCCTCTTCTTCCTCCTCCTCCTCCTCTTCTTCCTCCTCCTCCTCTCCCTCTTCTTCCTCCTCCTCTCCCTCTTCTTCCTCCTCCTCTCCCTCTTCTTCCTCCTCTCCCTCTTCCTCTTCTTCTGCTTCTACCTCCTCTCTGTCTTTTCCTTCTTCTTCCTCCTCTCCCTCCCCCCCTTCATCCTCCACTTCCTCTTCTCCTCCTGCTTCCTCCCCTTCTCTCTCTTCTCCATCTTTTCCTTCTTTATCTTCCCTCTTCTCTTCAGCCCTGTTTTCATCTTCTTCTTCCCCCTCCACACCTTCTGTTTCTATCTCTATTCCTTCCTCTTTCTCCTCTGCTTCTTCTCCTTCCTCTTCCATTTCATCCTGCCTATCTTCCTCTCTTTCCTCTTCCATTCCACTCTTCTGCACCTTCTCCTTTGTTTTATTTGCATCTTCCTTTTCCTCTTCTGATGCCTCTTCTTCTCTCCCTGCCAATGACTCCTCTAACTCTTCCTCTTCACCTGCTTTGCCTCCTTCATTCTCTCTTTCTTTCCTTTCTTCTTCATTTTCCTTCTCACCTTCTGACTCCTGCTCTGCTCCTGCCTCTTTTATTTCCTCCCTCTCTTTGTCTTCTCTTCCTTCCTCACTCTCATCTTCTGCCTCTTTTTCTTCCTCCTGCTCTCTTTCCTCTCTTCCTTCCTCACTCTCATCCTCTGCCTCTTTTTCTTCCAACTGCTCTCTTTCCTCTCCTCCGTCCTCACTTGCATCCTCTGCCTCTTTTTCTTCCACCTGCTCTTGGTCTTCTTTTCCTTTCTCACTCTCATCCCTTCCATCACTTCTAACCTGTTCCTCCTTTTCTTTTTCCCTTTGTTCCTCTTCTGCATTCTCCTCCTCCTCAAAATCCTCTTCTCCTTGATTCAGTATTTCTTCTTCCTCTATAAACCTGCCTTCTTCATCTCCTTGCTCCTTGCCATATCCTTCTTGATGATTCTCTTCTGCCTCTTCTGCATCCTCATTCTCACTGTGTCTTTCCACCTGTGATTCATCTCTTTCATTTTCTTCCCCACTGTCTTTTTCCTTTTTATCTTCATCTCTTTCTTCTGAAATGTCTCTGTCTGCATGTTTTTTATCCTCACTCTCTCCTTCTTCCTCCCCTAGTTCAATTTCACTGTCAACTTTTTCATCCAGTTTTTCTTTTTCACTTTCAGACTTTTCACTGTCTTCACTCTCTTCCTCTTGATTAGTTTCCTCCTCATTCTTAACTTCAACCTGTCTGCCTTCATCAGATTTAACTTCAGAATTTGTTTCTTCCTCATTCAGACTTTTTATATCAGCCTCTTCTGCATATTCTTTTTCATTATTTGTGGCTTTCTTCTCTTCAGTCTCACTACCTTCTTCTTGTAAATCCACATCTTTCACATTTTCCACTGCTTTTGTTGCTTTCTGGGTATCCTTGCCTTTACAGTAGTCCTCCTTCTTATCCCCACTCTTAAGCATGTATTTTCTATGTTCATTATTGCTTTCCTCACTTGAAGATGATGACATAGTTACAGCTATTTGTTTTAGAAATGGATCCTTTTTCTTATACTCACTCTGTTCTTCATTACCTTCTTCCTCTCTGACATACAATCTTTCGTATTTATCAGCTTTTTCGATTCTATCCTTTGTTTTGTTTTCACACTCTACTGCTTTTCTACTTTCTGGCTTTGTAACAGGACTGTATTTCTGTACAACTAATGAGCGAGTCTGGGGTTTATCACTGCATACAGAAGGAAGTATGGCTGTTTTAAGGGTGTGCTTAGATTTAACAACTTTTGACTTTTTATTGGAAGAATGACCACTTTTCAAAGTACCATTTTGTGCCTGGTCATATTTACCTTTCATGTTCTTTTTGTAAGTCATGGGCTTCCCTACAAAGGCACTGCTTTTTTCTAAGTCTGCATATTGCTCCAATGACTCTGAAAGTGAAGACTGCTTTCGTAAAGCGCCAGAGTCTGATTTTGAACTCTCCTGCGTGAAATGGGAATCAACAGTTTTCATCCCACCCTTACCATCTCTTTTCAGTTTCACATTTTTATTGTTCTTCTATTCCACATGAGAAGCAGAAAATTAAAAAGAAAGAAGGAAAACATTAAGGACAACTTGAATGACAGGAAAATAAAAGACTACATGAGTATCTGAACAAGAAAAGAAACAATTTCTGTGATAGAACAGAAGGTGGCACAAAAGGTGGAATATTTCTAAAGAAATGAGATTAAAATTGCATGTATTAGAAAAATGAAAATACGGTTTATAGTAAAGATACTACTTCTTTTTTAACAGTCCAAGCACTCAGTGTGAATGGGAGAATTACGAAGCTATTGTCACATCTCTCAAACTACAACACATGCAAGGTGTGAGGCAGTGCTAAGGGAAGGAAAGTGCTTTGGCTCTCTTAAACCTTCCTTCATCTTTTCCCTAGGGAAACCTTCTGATGCACTCAGTGCTATGCTGTTTAAATAAGCTTAAAATTCTCTTGTCCTTCTGCTTTAAATTTTGCCCTTATTGAACATGTTCATCTGAGTATCATTTTTTAAAAACAAAATTAAATACTAATGAAATATACCAAGGGACTGAAATGTGGCTATCATGACAGAAGTGAAATAGGGTGGAAGAGAATGGAAGGGAAATACATAAAGGTAAACACACAAAGGTAACTAATGAACTAAAGGTAAATAAAACCCCTACTTATACTGTGTCCCAGGAATCAATTAAGATGTTTTCATATCAACAAAATAATAGAAGAAATTGTTGCCAGAATAAACTTAAAATTGTACACTATAGTCTCCTGTCCCTTAAACCAGGGGAGCACTGTACAGTGCCATCTCAAACTGTGCTGGACATGTGCCCACAGAAATTCTTTCTGAATTCAGTCAGCTACATACAGGTTTACCTTGTGGATCTATACTGAGAATATGAACAAGGGAAAGGGTATAAAATTTGCTTGGCTTTTTAAAAACTCACAGTAAAACAATAAAGAACAAGGCTAACAGACATTTTAAACATGAGTATACATATGGATAATTAGCTACAGTACCTTTTGTTTTTGGATTGGTGATAATTTTAAGGATTGGTCACTGGGATTCAATTTCATCACATGTGTCTGTAAAAAATGAGAGGTCTAGTAAAACACTAAATGTAATAATGAGGGGTTGCATAATAATGACATCATATTTGCACTTTTGAAATACTTTTTAATTGGAGAACCTTGAAAAATTTTTCAAATCACATGCTTTCCAATATATCACTAGTTAAATTAGCATAAGCTATAGTTTCCATGAAGTAACTTAAATCTTCACATCATTTCAAATAAAAAGCTTCAGGATAACATTCTAAGTTTCATGTACATCTTCATCAGTCTCATTCAGAAAGGAAGATAGCTGAATGACTGTCTAAAAATCAGGTTTCTATGCGTGGAGGGAACTTAGCACATCTCTTTCTTTTGGCTATGAACTTCTGCTTTTAAAATCCCTGACCTAGAGGTTAAACTGCTGACTTCAAATTTACTGTTCACTGACATGGCTAGTGAGTTGCTTTTCTCTGAGCAGAGGAGGCAAAAGAAGGCCTGAATGGAAGAAAACATACAGAGCTCCACCTCCCACCAGAGATGGGGAAAGAAGTCCATCATCGAGCATGTAAAGTGTGCATATATTATAAGCATATGCCGCAGTAAATTAATGAAGGCTGCCTTGTGTACTACATCTGAAAATGATTATTTCTTATCTCTGTGTAAACTAAGACAAAATTTTATAAATATTAAATGAATAGAAAATGAATAGGCAATCTGATTGTTAAATTATTAAGTACTGTTGCCCCCAAAAGTAATAATTTCTGTAAAATATTCCATTCATTCAGTATAACTGACAAGATATTCTGAGCTGAACCCACAGAGAGTTGAAGAATTGTTTACATTCTACTGGATTAAGAAGAAAAAACAGAAAAAAACTCTCTTTCCACTGCATTGGTTTAGTCAGACATACCAGGACTGCAAAGAGAAGACAATGTTTTGTAGAGGTGAAAACGTGATAAGGGGAACATATGTTTTAAATAAGAAAAACATATGGAAAGCTACTTGAGGATCGCCAAATAATCAAAATAATCAAAATTTTGGTCTCTGCTTTAATATGATGCACCTGCATGAAAAGAATTCTGCTGGAAACGGGAAAAAAAAAAAAAGACAGTGCTCTGTTTCTTTTCCTGTAATACTCCCTCTTCTTGTAAATAATCAAGAGCAATGTTAGTGACCACGATGCAGCATCCAGCCCCTTCTAATTTCCTTCCTAATGTCTAAGGCTAAAGCCCAGGGAGGGGATGCACTGACTGGACTGCTTCAATCTCACATTGCAATATTACTTGGAGAATGAAAAAACAAACTTCAGCATTGGATAATGATGATATGAAACAGATGTTCAATTAACAGTAAGTCAGTACTTCTTGATGCCACATACGAAGTTCTGGGCTAGACAAAATTTCTGTACTAGAACCCTAAAACATGATTTCGCTGCTTTGTTTTTCCATAAAAACAATGGATTAATTAGTGAAATACATTACCACATTTAGGATGTCAGATGTATCTCCAAGGTTTCTGTGATTACTTTCATCATCTGAATCTTCTTCAGAGCCTTCACGGGGTTTATCTTTTTGATGATTCTTTTCTTTAAGATAAAATAGGGAACGTAAACAAATACCATAGGAACAAGTGATATATAGGAAACAGAACATCCCACTCTTCTATGATAAAGGAATTATTTCTATCTTACTGCAATAGGATTAAAGCAATGTGATTCATCATTCCCCCAAACTAAGTTAAAGCAGAAGCACTTCATTTACTTTCCACCAGTTTATATTAATATTAGAGATAGTTCAAAAGTCTAGCTAGTGTGCACTGTATTGTCTGACCACTTTTGTAGTCTTTCAGTGCATAAATATTCCAGGGAACAAAGCTCCATTTGGATAATCTTTTCAGTAATACTGTACCATTTACACTTTATTAGCTGCAGTCATTATTTCTTTTTTTGCTATATACTTTCAGCTCTTATGCACATACTCTGTGAGAGCCTCATGAAGTAAGACTGAATTGGAACCTTGCTTCATGTGCAAACTGAGCGTTTACAAACGATGGAAGCCAAACTACCTAATTCTCATAGAAGACTACTCAAAATGTTGAGACATTTTACCTGTTTCATGGTCCAACTCCATAGGCTTAACTTCAGGAAGATCTGTTGCAGAAAAATAGGGTAGGCTGGTGTTGCTAGTCACATGCAATGAAGACTTTAAAAAGTTTCCTCCCAGTGGAGGGAGGGTTTGTATCATTCTTAGGAACTGTTCTGGTGATCTTTCCTTTAGAAGATTAACAAAAGAGAAATGAGAAAATTATTAGGAAAAGAAATGAAGATTAAAATATAAGCAACCTCTCACATGCAGCAGAAACATTTTCCTCTAGTTGATGCTCTGAACAAAATTTCTTGCACATTTTGCTTGTCTATAGTCCTAGAAAGTGGAGAGGTACATGATGAGATATTTTATGTAGTCCCTACACAATAGGTAACCTATGGAGTCTTAAAATATAGACAAGGGGGAGAAAAAAAGCTTTGATTTTTGTTTAGAATAAAAATACTATTTTGACAAAAAAATACATCTAGGTAATTAATCCATAGCATTATGATCTTTTTACAAAACAAAGACAAATTCATCTCTTGTGTTTTTGCGGTAGAGTTACCTTACCTTTTCAGACAGGTAACTGAGATGATCTCTGTACTGCTCAAGGAAAGCACAGGAAATATGTGGGTGAAAGTAAAGGATAAGAAATTACTGTTCTAAGTACCTGTATGGTCTTAGAATCACTTAAAGCTGACTGAAACTTCCCTCTTCCCTTTTCTAAACTGTAAACTAGCTCAATCTACTCAAGAACTCAGAGGGACCCCCCCAAAAAAAGTTAGGTTCCCATAAATAGAAGAGAATAAAATAAACACAAAAGAACAGGCTATGTAGTTTAGAATCGAAAACAAAAAGAAATTGAGTCTTTTTCATAGAACTGAAAATGAAAATAAGTCTTTTTCACACATCATAAAAAAATACATCTGGACCAATATCTATTTTTTCCCTGCATGAATTATGTCAACAGGATAGCAATCCCTTTGTATTTTTACACATTGAAATTAAACATTTATTTTGAGGAGAGGTATTTATCTGCTAGGTATGTGCTGTAATATTAAGGTGTTTTTTTTTGAAAAAAAATCTATGGCAATTCTAAATAGCTCTGAATTTACCTTTGCTCGACGTCGCATTCGTGCTGATAATGTTTTTTGTAAAGTGCCTGTTGCTGATGACACTATGCTCATTCCAGAGGTAGTAGCAGTCAGACAGTTTTGCACATCTTCTATGAGTATTTCTTCAGATCCTTTAGGCCTTGGAGCAGCAAAAACTAGCATGTGACAACCACCACAAGCAACCTACAGCACAAAACCGAAGTTCTGATTACTTCATGAGTAACAATACAACAATCTCATTGTCTTCTAGTCACCTCCAGGAACTTAAGCAAACAAAAAATGCTAAATGGGCAATTTTGCTTCAAGATTTTAGGAAGGAAATAATACATAAATATGACTACTGATGCTTAATAAGCCCCATTCATTTTTTCTTACTTAAGTACATTACATTTAGGTAAAACTTAACAAATTATTATTATTGATATTTCCTCTGATTTTCAAAAGGATTGTAGATCATTATTTTGATGCGAGTCAAATGTTAACAACACTGATCACTAAAAAGACACAAACCTACATATCTTATCACGAAATCTACAGAAAGGAATGCAAAGTACTAACGCCATCCAGTAGATAAGGTATCATTATATAAAAAACGCAGGATTCACAGTTTAGAAAGTTTCAATTCCCAAGTCATATTTGTATTTTTGATACTGGCAATCTGTGATATTTTTCTGTGACAGTTTTCAAGATCCTCAGGAAACAGATCAAAACAATGCCCTTAAAAGAAACGACTAATTCTCTTTTCTCAACCTGCTTGGATTAAAAAAGTAATAGCTTAAATTTTCTTAAGAGTTCTTAAATATCTCACTGTAAAATCACTAAAAGTAAAATGACATCACTCTAGGGTTTTCAGAACAGGTATCAGTTCCCCCTTACAAGTGTTTTATTTTATACGATACTATGAGATCTACAAACCAAAACATTGTGGAATGGTGCTACTGAATAAAACTGAAAAAATAAAAACCTAAAAGTACAGCCCAAATTAAGTACATTCAAAACTGAATAAGCAGCTCAATAAGCTGCCTTTCTTTTCCAAATTATTGTTATCTATTAATTAAACATTGTAGAAAAAAAATCTATAATGAGATTTCAGCAGTCATTAATAACGTCTCATGAAATACAAACATTTTCATGTCTGAGAAGCAGGAACAAAAAGTTTTACCAAAAGGACTGTGAATCTCAGAAAGTTAGAACATAGAATGGGTTTAAACTGGTTTACAAAATTCTCCTCTCCAAGTCCTAACTTGCCATGTCGCCCGTCTCCAAAGGTAAACATGAGGCCATTCTCTGTATGTGGAGAAAGGGATGTTATTAACAACAAAGGTCAATAGAAAAAAAAAAAAAAAAAAAAACAGGACAAAACCATTACAAATAAAGCAATAGACCATGCAAGTAAGGAATATTCCTCTTTCAATAATATTTAATAACTATTTTTAGATTCTCTGTGGACGAGTACAATCCAAAAATATGTATATTTTCAAAGTACAGTCTTAGAGTTAGTCTTGACATTTGAAAATTTGAGAAAGAAAATGGAAAGAAATGTATAGTGAAACAAAGGCTTGTAAACAAGAATACCTGTTTGCAAGGCATGTCTATGAGGTTGCAGTTCCCCAGGAAATAATGGGTACAGAACTACATATAACTGTTAATCAGAAATTCCTACTATCCAATTTGCCTTTCTCACCAACTCCCACATAGTTTTGGCCACTCAACCTTTAGAAATGGTAACTCTTCATGAATCCTTTTTTTATACTAATCATTTTGTACAGAAAGCTTACTGAGAGTCACTAGAAGTGCAATTCAGAGTCTTTCACATACGTACCTGCTATTACAGCAGTATGATTTTCCCCACATGCAATGCTGAGTATTTTATGCCTCCTCAAGTGTTCCACAGACTTTGGTACAGAAGTTTCAAAAATAAAAGTTCCATGTCCCAGTTGTCCATACTGTCCCAGTCCAAAAGTATATACATCTCTCTCTAAAAATGTACAGAAGTTAAAAACAAATGTGTTGCCATGTATATTATAATCCACTTTCTATGAACAAAATGCAGCTTAAATGACATTGGCTTCAAAAAAGCAATGCTTTATCAATTAATACTGAGAGAAAAAAGAAACAGGTAGTGAAGCAGTAAATTAAATATATTCGGAAAAGAATTTTGAATGGTTGACCATGCAATATATTTTCTATCATGTAGCGTAACTACAAAATGATCTATAAACCACTTGCACACATAATATTAGCTAACAAAAATTTATGGGAGCTTACTGCAGTTAATTCAAGACCACAATGTTTATACATATGTGCATTTTTAAATGCAATAGTCTCTTCTTAGTTTCTTGTTACTTACAACACATACACTGCATGAACCAAAATTTAACAAACTAGATGTCTTTAAACTAGAACTAATTTACTAATTTGTGTGAAAGAAAATATCGAAACAACAGCAGAACAAGAACAATACAGAAGTATTGTGTTTGGCTACCAAATCAACTCTGTCTTCAGCACAGAGAACACTATAATTGCGTTATCTTGTGACAGAATAATCATTTTTTCCACACTGCACATTTTGTCCATTTAATGGACTGTCAGTGCCAGGAAAAAGAATGTGAGGTTCTCCAAAGCCATAAAGATTCTTGGTGTGTCCATTCCCAGCCCTCCCTCCAAACCAAAGATGAGTGTGAAGCTTGGAAATTTTGCTGAGGTTATGCTCAGAAAGGGAAATACAAAGAGTAATTATTTTTGGGAAGAGGGGTCATTTTCCTAGAATTTTATTTGTTTGTTTGTTTGTTTTGTTTTGCCAGCAGGCAACAACAGAAATCGACAGAAATACTCATCAACATTTGCAAAAAGTTATGAAAACCTGTGCAAGATTGGGAAGGACAAAAAAAAATTCTGCCTTAAGCAAAAATAACTGAGACTTGGGAGCAATACATCGCTACCATGAAGAGGGTGCAGAGCCTGTCCACTCCGGCCACATGGACGCCACTATGCCAAAAATGTCACCATCTTCAAGAGCAAGAGAGGAACTGGCTTCCACAACTGAACGTACAGAATGGCAAAAGCAGGAGAATCTTTACTTTTTGAGCCCTTACTCATGTTCAGGAAACGAGGTTACTGGAATAGCAATGTATGCTTCAGCACCACAAAACTACTATATACTGTGTAATCAAGTATCATTTTGCTGTTGTTCTTAGAGCAGTCACACAAAAGAAGAAGAAATACTAAAAACAAATTATGTTACCATTCTCCCAAACCATCTTTTGCTTCTGTCAGAGAAACAGCAAAAGCAATGGACCAGATTTCAATTTGCTACCATAGGACACTTGCAAATTTATACTGAACTTTCAGATTTACAAAGGAACCAGGTTGAAATACTGTAAACACTATATTTGGAAAAATTATCTATCTATGAAATAGTTTTCCACCTGTTTTAAAGGGGTTATGAATTAATGAAAAACAATAACAGTCTCAAACTTTTTTAGATTGAAGACACAAAATATTTTATAAAGCCATTTTTCTATTAAATTTAATAGTAAAGCTCCCTCTACTGGAAATTTCATTGCGAGAAAGCAACACCTTAGAAGAAAGTTCCTTTTTAAAGGAAAACAAGGAATACTGATTTTCCTGTTATTCCTACTTTCCTGATAATAATCAGGAAACTACTCTGAAAGAGTTTTTTTTTTTTTTCCTAAGTCAGCTAAGAAAAATTCATCTTCATTTTCATAAATGGATTTCTCAGGATGGCTGATTCCATAAGTTCTATTTTAAAACACTGTATTTGTCTTAATATTTATTTGGAAGCAGATCTTATCATTTTCAAATTATATAGTCTTATCTGATTAATGTAGTTGTTTTAATTTGGAGGGTTTTGGAGGGTATTATCTTTAATCCTGTGTTGATGCATGGAATACTTCTTTCACAAAGAATGTTTAGAGGAAGATATTCCCAGAGGCAAACTTGAGGTACGGGAATCTATTTTCTGGGGGAGAACAAACCAATCTAAAAACAAACTGGGGTGTCTTTATAAGAAGAAAATTTCCACTGCCTCTGTAGCATCCCATGAGAAGGGGCCCTGAAGGATGAAGAGAAGTGGTTTCAAAGCCTATCCAGAAACCAGTCACTTCCATATTCCAAATGATGTCCTGCACTTTGCCAATTTGGGAATTTGGGAATACTTCTACTTTACTACTTTTTTTTTTTTTTTTTTAGAAGAGCAGGGATGCTTTCTGGTATATGTTCCCTCATTGCATGAGGCTCCTGGAGTACATTTAATCTCAGTGACAGCTGTCCCTACGAAATAATTCTATGCAAAAATCTATGTAGCTTTCAGATTCTTTCTCTCCCTCATGCTTTGTGATGAAAGAACTGAGGGAGTTCCAAGAATCTTTGTAAGAACCATGCATTGCTTCCCATATATTTCAAACTGTGTAAAGTTAAAAATCCCCAGAATAACAGAAACACACAGATATTCTAATAGCTCTCCATACAGCTTTATTCCCCTTGAACCACCTTATTATTAGTATGTCAATGAGCTATTCACTCCTATTACAGTTTTATTTTTAGACAGCTTATACTGAAAAATATTACTGTAAAAAACATCTGTCTACCCAATACTTGGTTTTACCAGAACCAGTAAACTGGATTTGAGGATTTCAGTATAAGTAGTATACAAACTTAAGAAAGAGTTTGATAAATCTAAATAATCCTACATGCATCAGTTTCTCAGTTCTGTCATGAGAAGGTAGAGATTTTTCATCCCTCTCATTCTCTTTCAAAAGGATATCTTGACTTTCTTTTCTTCTTAAACTCCTTGAGACAGAAGAGGAAAAATCCAAAAGTTTACATACTAATGCACTAATGTTCTGTATTATGTATGATGTCAAACTATCTATTCTCCAAGGACAGCTTCACTTTTTCCTTTGAAGTATCTTCGTTTTCCCTCCCTTTAGAGAATAAAAGAAGGTAATATATCCTTTTATAGAGAGGATTATTTCCAAACGATCTGTCCTCATCTGAAAAAATGGTAGATATTAAGGCTACTCCAAATCATCTGTTTCTGCTTTTCCAACCTTCTTGATTCAGAAATAGTTTCTGTTCATTTTTTAAGAGCTTGTTAAAAAAGTACAGAAGTTGGGATTGCTGCTTTCTCATGTTTCTTTCCAGTAGAAAGCATTTGCAAGACTCCTGGTGAGTGGATGCACGTCATTGTAGTCTCTGAGCAAGAGAAGTCATCTGGGATGAGGATATGACCTTCCTGGATAAGCTGATAAACTGTCATGAAATGGATAGGTTGGTGCTCCTACTGTGAGAAAATGTTTGTGGCAAATAATTTTTAACTGTGTTATGATGTTTATTTTCTAGCACAACTGTAAAAAAGGCAAATATAAGACTTTTAAAGAAGATGGTTTCTAGAAATATATTCGAAATTTCAATCCTTAAAAAGTAGGTTTTTTTCTTCTCATTGCTCTCAACAGCTCAACTTTCTTTTTCTAGAAAAAAAAATAAGGTTTTCCCATTTTGGAGTTTCACAGCAAAATGCACTATTTTAATGCGTACTGCTTACCACTCATTCTGATACACTGCTGCAGAGATTTCAAACAGCTTTTAATGTTTCTTAGCATGCAAAATCGCAAATAGAAGAGAGATCAACCATGAGAAAAGAAATAAAATAAATAAAATGAAGTAATTTGGAATAGACTAATCATGAATGAGAGTCAGGAAGACACCTGTCTCATGTTCAGTAAGATAACTGAATTGTGCTTTCTTCTAATTTGATAAGTCCTAAATAGAATGGATGAGAAGGAAGGAGCCAGGATGCACAACCAACATTGTGTCCTATCCTATTCCTACATTAAATCAGATAGATGAAGTAGCGGAATATGCAATAGCTAGAAATTCACACAGTATTTTTAGGAGTGAAATGACATGCTCGGAAAAATGGAAAGATTCTGAAAAGATGAAAAAGATGAAAACTGTATCAACAGATATTGTGCTACCAAAGCCAACCAGTGCATTTTTTCCACAAAAGGTGAAACATAAAATTCAGAATTTGTTAATCCATGGCACAGTTTCTTAATTTAGGAGACTAATATACCTAATACCTGATAAAAGTAAACATGTTTTTGTTTGACTTCCTTTGAAGCCTTACCAATATTCTGAACTTGTGGTCATGCAACTTCATGTCAGAATGTAATACCTAATTCCACATTGATTCAAATTTCTGGTGGAAATCCTATACTGACCATATGCCTCACTCAGTATTTATATAATCACAGTGTTCTAATCTTTTCTTTCTCCCAAACATTAAGCAGTAAATACTGTATGAGTCAGAAGAATTTCTGCATGTTAAAACTCCTGACTATGCATCATTCACCTGAGAAAGTATTTCCTTTATCCTCTACCCTTGTTCAAGAACCACTACTTCATAGCTGCAGCTAATGGAGTAATAGCTGAATTATATTTTAGAAAAAATCTGTCTGAACTTTCAGTTTTACCATAACAATTATTAATCTTTAGGCAAATACATTTCTCACAGGATACTGCTTTCCTCTTCTCTTGGCTCAACTGGACCTTCTGTCACTGGACTGCCAGCAAACCTAGCACTGAATCTCTGTCTTATTTGTCTCCTATTATAAAAGGTATTTCCATAGTCAAGTAAATCTTATTTAGTAAGATATTGCTTACTATAACCTTTTTTTTTTCAATCCACTTGTTTTTCAGCTTTTATACTCTGCCTCCAGGTTCTATTTCTAGCTTCTGCCTCCAGAGATTTCACTAAAACGCTGATGTCATCTGAGTATACAACTTCCAACTAAATCTCTGTAACAGTCATTTGGTGTAATGTAATGTTATTACACCAAATATCATTAAAAATCTCTATTGGTTGGGTTTAGATCTATGGTTAAAAAAATAATCAATAATGATAATCTAATTCTTTGTGCAGAACTTCACTTTATGACCAATAAAATACTGCTAGGATTTATACGTTTGCTGGCCTCAAATTTATGGTAATTTTTTCCTAATAATGATAATCTGATTTCATACAGAGAATGAATTTTATGTCATTTTATGACATAAAATACTGCATGGGTGAGACTGTATGTTGGTGTGAGAACAGAGACAAAAGCTTTGAAATGTAGACGAATATTTGCACTATTTCCTGGACTGGCTATTGCTGTTTCCTCTTCATACATTTCCTAAAGGAGTTTTAACTCACCCAAAATCTTGCAGCTTGAATTATCATTACTCATGATCTTATCCAGCACATCATTTCAGCCTTTATTCTCTCAGTGGCTTGCAGTACAATACCACATCAAATTACTTACAACTAACTCCTTTCAATCAGATTTTCAGTTTACATTTTAGAAATTTTTGTTTCATAACCTAAAGGCACTTTACCAGATTAACAACACATGCCTATGAATATTCTAAAAATACAGATATAAGGAGTGATGTCTATACATTTTATTTGTTTATACAGCTCTTGCATTTTGGGTTACGAAAAGAGATTATTAGGGGGATGCTATACAGTTGCAGAATTCATTACAAGCAAAAGACGATATTTTGGAAATCATCTGTGGGTCAAGTCAAAACGCCTTTTCTTCCTTTACAGTTTTACGATTATTTAGTCCAATGAAAACAGACATTTTCATGAGCATACAGCGGCACCAACAAGATGATCAGGAAAACTAGGAAAGACGAGATTTCTGTTTAAATTACTGGAGTTCCCAGAACCTCATAGGAATTACATAAGATAGATAATATAAGACATTTAGTTGGATTAATGATTATGAGAAAAGCTGTAATGCAACCATGGTAAGAACTATGCCATCAGATCATGAAAAAAAAAAAAAAAACACTTGTTTTCTGGAAAGAGAAAGCAAGCAGATTGCTCTAGATTTCCCTGGATCCTATACTATCACCTCTTCCTTGATCACAGAGATACCACTGTCATTGAATTGCCACAAATTCTCTATACAGACCACTTTTAATTGTGGCTCTCCTTTCAGCTAGAAAACGTCAACTAATATCCCACTTAGGCCTTGCTCCAATTGAAGTTCTACTCCGAGATCTCAGAAAAAGAAAAGGTTATTGCCTTCCTCCGAGAAGCAACCTGCTACGCACTTGAAGACTGGTGCCATGTCTTTCCGTTGTTTTCCCCTTTTCACACTAACCAACTTGACCCCCTTTTTAAATGTTTCCTCACAATTACATTTTCTTCTTCTTTTGGTCTGACACTCCAGGATAACTTTGTGGCTTTGGAAAGCTCTCTTGGTGTTCTTACATACAAAACTTCTCTTACATATCTATGGTGCTATAAGAACAGCATTATATGGCTGTCTTATTTGTACTTGTCTTTTGTGCCATATTAGTTTCCACAGAAATCCTGTCAACACTATTCAAAAACCTCATGAAAAATTATGTTGGTCCTAAACTACTTGCTTTTGTCTGCTTTCAGTTGCTTATCAACAGCTTATTTAATTTTCTCAACATTTTTTCAGCCAGTGAAATTACAGTGATTTATCGATAATTTGCAGGCTCTTCAAATTCCCCCATCCCTATTGCTGAACTATGAAGGGTAACAATGAACAATTATAAGATGGTCTCAATTCTTGAACCGGTTCAGGGTGAATTTTCATGAGGCCTAGACTCTTGAAAAAAGTCAAACATATCTGATATGGTTCTAGCTTATTTCCCCACTTTCTAGAGTTCTTTTTCTGCTCTACCATGAATTCTATATTACAGTCAATTATTAAAGTCTTGGGTCTTCCCTCTTCTTACTGCTAATTTTTTTAGCCATCTAAATTGTTATACTGCCAGGTGAAGCCAAAAAGGAATTAAACACTTTGGCATTCTGATGTCAAATTGCAGTAGCTTCAGTTTTGACAATGGTTATGAACTTTGAAATTTCATTCAAAGCCATATTATTACTTTGCACAAACACTGTGAACACATTTAAGAAAGTCAGCCAATTACTATGTTTCAGCAAAGATGACAAATTACTGTATCTCCTAAAATATATTTTGTTGGTATTTTCTCACTTTCAAATTTCTAGGAATACACTAGCATTTTTTTTGTGAATTTGCATCGGAAGTTATTAAGATAATGCCTTTATTCACCCTCCAAATTTACAAAATATTCTTCTTATAAAAATAATTCACTAGCACTTTCTCTGATACTTACTGTGAAAACAAAATAATTCATATATGACTTATCAAGGATTATCCAAAATCACATGCTGAACAAAATTAGCAGAATGTTAGTTAACAGAAGCCTCCCAGTGCTGCAGGACTCTTCAGATTTCACAGCTAAGGAGTATCTCATACTCTTTTTCCCCCTCCATCGCTAGCAAAGACTGAATACTTGGTTAGTGGAGTCACTGCCCCAGCACGCACGGAAGAATCAGAGGTTTGTTTTATCTTCCCTATTACTAAGAATCAGAAAGGCACCTTCTCAAAGGCCTAACAGATGCCTTTTTACTCCAGTAGTCTGGTATCCTCTGCAAACTGATGGAAACAGCTCTAATCACACAAAGAACTTTCTATTCATATGAGTTGATGAAGATATTTCAAAATGTGCCAGAAAGAAGGTTTGTAGCCCAAATGCACTTGAGAGACTAGACAAATATAGTAAAAAGGAAAAAAAAAAAAAACAGAAACAAAACAATTTAGGTTAGAATCTGTAGAAATTAAGAGCTAGCTATACCTCACAATTATATCTTTAAAAAGTTTATGTACCATTGGCACACAACTATTTATTAGTCTAGTAATGTATTTCATATATTTCATATTTCATCTTGAAGTACTTTACCTGCAATCCTGTGAACTAATATATGAGTTATACACTGAGTTTTGTATAGTTGTATGATATATTTAATGCACTATAATAGTTTGATATGTTAAAGATTCTGCTCAAAGTCTCATGCAAACTCAGTACTACAACAGGAATACTTAAACCATTTAGGCATCTAGTAGAACTTGCATCTCTTTATCAGTATTAACAGGCAGCTAGTTGGAAAGTGACTTCCTAAACATCACATATTCAAGGTCATTTAAAATTTATTACTGAAGGAGTGCCATAAAACTCCCCTCCCCTCATCTCTCAGGATCACTTTCAAGCTACTCAGAAAAAAAGAAACACTGATCATCTTACATTTCAGTGGCACTGAAGTATGTTCTTTCAAGTAAACTGAGATTACTAAGTTACAGGGCAATATAAAAGTCAGGTAATTTGCACACCTGTAAGCACCACGGTGTGTCCTCCACCACAAGCAACTTTATTAACTTTTTCCATAATTCCTGGTACCGGCTGTGGGACTCTGCTGTTCTTCAGCTGTTCAGGCAACAATCCCAGTTTCCCATTTTCAGGTTCTCCGAAAGTATAGAGTTCACCATCTCCTGTCAAAATACAGAACAGAGCAGGATTCCCAGGACGCACTCAGAAGAAAGTCTGAGGCGTGAAGGCTTCTGCAAACACAAATCGGTGCAACAGAAAACTATGAATATTATAGGATAATTTTACCTACTAGATTTAGTAGCACACCGTATACTTATATTCTACTACTAAAGCTCAGACTGAGGTTGCATGTATGTTCTCAAAAGCAAAAGAGATTAGTCAAATTATTAAACCAACTAAAAAATTAAAGGACATGATTTAAAAGTGAATCTTATCAAAAGTGAAGCTTATCAAAACTCAGGCAAAAGAAGCACTCAAGGAGGGAACCTTCTCATTCTCAGAATTAAAATCTCAAAAGATAAAGTCAAAAATGGTTTAAGAAATACGTAATTTCATTGAATCTTCCCTCAATATAAAGCTTGAAATCCAACGTCATCCTTATGTTTTAATGATTCCTGACATTTTCTCTTTCATGCTTACAAAAAATATTTTGAACAAAACCTCTGAAATTACCCTAGTTCATGTATATGTACGCATCTGTGCAGAAATAGCTTACAATGCATTCTTCTATACTTTTTTTTTCCCCAAGAGATGTTCCTTAGTCATTTCAACTTGTGTTTTTAAGAAGCAGCAGAAAACCCCAGCTGCAGAAAAAATTATTTCATTTTAGTTCTAAACTAAATTAGTTGGACTGTGTTTAGGCTTCTCTGTTCAGTCTGGTTTTCTGCTTTATTTCTTGCATACACGAGTGCTCTGAATATGCTTAGGCAACTGATACTTCACAGTTTTTTGCTGTCTCACTTTTTATTGTAGCCCAATTAACGAAAAAAATAGCTGTAGAATGACAGTTTCTGTAATGAAACCATTCCACTGACAACAAAAGGAGTTCACACTCCGATTTTGATATCTTTTTAGGGATTCTCTCACTTTTGTTGAGTGAAAGAAGAAAAAACACGTCTGAAATTTTTGTAAGGCAAATATCAGTGTTTTAATATTATTCCATCTGCCATGTAAAAAAGTTCATAAGCCCCCGAAAGACACTTGGGAGTTAACTAGTCATGCAATTCCTTTTGAAGGGGCCACAGCATTTCTTTCTAAACACTACTGTACAGCAAGCATTAATCCAATCACCATCTAATTAATAGGATTAAAGATTCCAATGGTCAAGCATTCATTGACTCCCCCCAAAAATCAAATTTATTACATTTTTTGACTTAATAATCCAGCTAACAAAGATAAATCCATTCACTAAAACAATTTCTTAATACATTGTACATCCCTCTTGGGCAAAAGTAGTCTAAAATCATGAAAAAATAGCTATCAAGCATAAAAAGGATGCAGCCAAACAGAGATAATTTTTGAGTATAATTATAAGTGTGCAGCACACCTGCATTTTAAGAACATTCAGGTCACAATATTCCCACCAGACTTGGGTCATTGCTTTCCTCTCTCATGCGAATCTTCTCACAATCTCAGAGTTTAAGCTGCCCCTAATGTGGAACATACTGTGTCACTAACCTTAGGTCACAGGAGGTCACAGGGATGGACAAGCAAATGGAAAACTACCTTTGGCTGTCAAGGACAAGCACAAACACTGCAGAAGAGGGAGGATATGAAAAGTGGCTAGTGGCAGATAAGTGAAGTAGGCAAAAGAATTTAATCACTCCAGGAGTCCTTGTATAAATCAAGAAAAAAAAATGAAGTATTTATTCAAGGGCAAGTTTGTTGAAACCACCTCAAACACAGGAATTCTGTGTATGGATGCGAAACGTATATGGAAGCAGAATGGATGAGCTTTTCAACTGCCACTTAAAAATAGTCACAAAGAAAATAAACAGAAGGAATTCAGGGTACCCATGATGCTCTCTCTGAAGACTTTTTCACAGTAAGAATTTTGCCTAACCTTGCTTATATAAGTAACAGTTCTCGCAGGGGAAAACACCCGAAGAGATCCACTGTATCCAGCTCTTTTCTGGCACGGAGAAAGGTGCCAGTAGACAAATGAGCTATGTATGAGGAAGAACTTCTTTCCTGTGACAGTAGCAGAGCCCTGGAACAGGCTGCCCAGAGAGGCTGTGGAGTCTCCTTCTCTGGAGAACTTCAAACTTGCCTGGATGCCGCCCTGTGCCACGTGCTCTAGGTGTCCCTGCTGGAGCAGGGGGGTTGGACTAGACGATCTCTAGAGGCCCCTTCCAACTAACCTCAACCACTCTGTGATTCTCTGATTCTGTGTGTGTGCTTGCCAGCCTTAGCACTCTCCCTTTGGATGAGTGTGACCAAAGATTAGTCAAACAAAGATCTGTATGTGGCCTCCAACAGTGTTGCTACATACTCTCAGCTCTTTCATTTATTTTTCTGTCATTTTGTGCAAGACATGCTTCAAATCTAACAGTCTAATATCCTAAATGGCAATGGAAGAACTAGGAAAGTGATATTGCAAAAAAAAAAAAATGTCCTAAAGGACTGAAAAGGAAACTAGAAGTTTCTTGACAACTAGAAGTTTCATTGACAAGTGATTTCCTTGCTAGATACTACTGGATTTATTTGGTGAAACTGTAGCACAAATTAAGATGACCAAATGCCGTAATTTTTTTATAGATGTGCTCTTTTGTTACTAAAAAGTTCGTGTTTGCTCTTATTAATGAACATCCTGCCCTGGAGAGGGCACTCTGTGACCAGACTATGTACTCACTAACCACCTTTTATATTTTAACCTAGATGTGCTTGTGCTCCTAACAGTTTGCTTCGTCAGTATACTGCTGATGTCAAATGTAAACACATTACAAAAGGAAACCATATGGTGCCATGCTCATCAGCTGAGCCCTGCAACATATATCATCCCAATTTTCTCATTCAGCTGCTACCCTAATCCCTCCTTCTCATCTCCCTCCACTAAAAGGTTCCCCTTCATTAGAGCATTCGGCACACGCTGTTCCCTCCATGCATTTAGGTGCCTGCCCTCACCTCCTTATCAGAAAGAGAACTTTTGTCACACCCCAGCGTAGCCTTGTCACAACTTCAGCTGTTGTCTGTGAGGTGAAATACACACCTTCTCACTGCATCCTAGAAGTGAGGATATCCTTCCTTTCAAGTTCAGAGAGTTGTACATTTCCTAATGGATATTCAGATCCTGACCTGTCATTTGGCATTTCATTCATTTACTCTAATAAAATATATATGATAAAAGGGGCATACAACTTTTTCTGGCGTAACATCTAATTAATACTTCACCCAATTAATACTTCTGTTAATGGCATATTCTTGGATTGGTATACAGACACTGTATGTGAAAAAGTACCATTTATCAAGTAAACTGAGAAAATTATTTAAAGGGTTAGTTCCTGGGTACCCATTAAAATCTTGTCAATTGAAGCTATTAATTCTTTGAAATCTTTAATTATTCCAATGGGACTAAACCATAAAGCTTGATCATTTAAATCTATACACCTTGGAGGAATTCATTCCCATTTATGTTTAATACTATCATTATTGATTGATAAATTGAACCACATTGGTATTATTAAAAAAGAAGAGAGAGGCATCATCATTTTGGAAAACAAGAGGTTTGGTTTGGAAATCAGAGGCCAGCTCATGGCAACATTCACTTCTCCTCAAAAATTTCAGATTTTTATATATTACCTATTTAATTTACTTCAAAACTTAAAATTTAACATATAACATTAAACCTTGACAATCATGTTGCAGTGCTGGCAAATGAAATGAATTTTTCCTCAATCTATTCAATAGTCTATTCAATATTTGCATTTCTAGGGAAGAGGAAGATTAATTGATCACCAGACAAACAACAAATATATCAAAAGTTGGATTATTGAAAAAATAGTATTAATCTACATTTGTCATAGCTTTCACGAAAACAAAATTAGAGTGGTAAGACATTCTTTCTAACAACTTTTTGTAAAACATAGTGCCAATGCAAAACATTCTTAGCATTTTTTTCTCGTATTACTCATTACTAATCACCATATTACTAATTCAATCATAAATATACAATTATATAACAGATTACATCAGAGTTTCCCAAGTAAATTAGGGATTACATTTCAGAGAAGCTGTCTCTGGTAACATTTCCCAGGGTCATAGACAGCTAGGTAGGTAATTTTCTCTTCCACGAGAGCATTTATAACAAGTAACATACCTATTTTTGGAAGTAATTAATGTCTCATGAGCTACTTTTGCCAAGACAACAACGAGAACCACCAACTTAAGTGTAGTAACTACTGTTCTCATTTTCTTACCTGTTATCAAGGCAGAGTGATAATATCCACAGGATACTGAGGAAACAGGTTTTCCAACAACCACTTGACAAGGGACACAGACACTGGCTTCATTAGCCAAGCCAATCTGACCTTCCGAATTGTCACCCCACATAAAAAGCTGTCCATCCTCTAAAATAAAGATAGAGAAAGTGAATGGCCTTAAAACCAAAAGTACGCTAATAAAAAGTTAATCTAACCATTTAAAAGACTTCCATAAAATGTAAGTATGACTGCTAAATGTCATCATCAGAGAGACATGAAGTGATACTTAGTACAATGCTACAGAACTGTCTGAAGTAAAAGGATATCTTCTTTTCAAAAGCGACAGAGCAAACATAGTGATAACTACTGTTGGACCATAATGGCAACAGTTAAAATACTATGTAAATACATTTCTTCTGAAAGAAGTAATACGGACAGTGTAACATATCCAACTAATTCTTTCCTCGTCTTTCTCTTCACAAGTGATTACCCTACCCAGCTGTGCTCTCCTTTCCTCAAGCTATCACAATAGGTGTTCCCACTTTACTAAGACCACCTTCTGTTGACAAAGGTATCAATAGCAGCAACAAGAAGCAAAAAACAAAGTAGAAAAAGGTAAAAATGAGCATCAAAAAAGGATAAAAAATCTCTAGAAAACGTGGTTTTCTCTCTATGTATTTATTGGTGAAAAATAAGCTGAAATGAGCAAAACCCAGCACCCACAGGGTTAATGAGATCTTAGGCAATGTTACAAAAAAACAACAAACCAAAGGACAGCCTGGCATCTCCCTTGTACTTTCTCATGCTCTGTTACATTCTGAAATTACAGCTTGAATAATTTATCCTAAGCACGTACAGAAACAGCTGCCCTATAGCCAGGCTTGAGAAATATAAAAATTAGATTACAGGGGAATAAAAGAGCACCCAAGCAGTGGTTGAAAGTAATATAGCCGCTTGGATTTCATCAAGTCTCCATTGTACAGTTTTGCCACTGGAGAAAGCCGGCCTAGGTTAGGTCTCCCTGAGAATCAGCAATTACGCAGTTGTAGAGCCTGCAGCTGTAGAGCAAAACAGTTGTAATAGAAAGTGGAATTAAAGAAACCGAGTTTTCTTGTGATTCATGTTTTGTAGCTGCCTTTTGTGGTAACTAACTGAAGCTCTTCCCACTTTGGGGCATTTATTACTATCTCTTATTTGTGTAAATTCTTGGTACTTACACGCTTGGATCCCACTATATATGGCTGCCAGCACAAAATATTCTCTCTTGATCTGAAAGTATTTTCACAAATATTGTGGGAAATTATGGAGACTGCCACCCTTGTCAGATTTTGTTGAAATAGGAATTGGCTAAAAACAATTTCTGGGGTGACTAGGAAAGGGGACAGGGAGACAGAAAACACACACACATGCAGACAATGCTAATAAACAAGTTCCCCTGGAACACCAAGCTGAAAACACATTCACAGATTTTATTAGCTGTTTCTCTTACCAGTTATTGCTGCTGAGGTGTATGATCCAGCTGCTAGCTGTTTGATCTTGTGCTGGTTGGTAAAAAAGCTAATTAAATGAAATGTGGTCCTTTCCTCTGTGTCACCTAATCCCAGCTGACCTTCACTGTTACCTCCAGCAGCATATACATTTCCTTTTTCTGCACACAGAAAAGCACATGTAATACACAGAATGAGCACATTCTCGTCAGTGACAGCAAGACAGCAGAAATACTGAGGCAAGTCATTTAATTTTTCTATGGAAAAAAAATATAACAGAAAAGTTGGTGTCTACTGCCCTGAGATATTCTAAAGGTGAAGGCAGATTTTGTGTTGTAACTAGCAAGGAGGCAGTCCTGCTTACACTTCATTGGGAACATGCTAAAGCTTTTCCATGTACTTAGACCAAGGGAGCCTCTCCACCATCTTGGACATGGATCTAAAAAGTAAACATAATCTGAAGTGCTTCAAGAGTTCTAACAAAGTGACTTCCAGGGGCCCCGGCAGCCAGAAGAATCTGCTTTCCCAAAGACTGCACAATTTAATTTAAGATAAAACAGTAGGAAAATGGAGAATGATATCACAGGCAAGAAAATTAAAGTCATGTTAGTACATAAGAGATGCATAATTTCATAGTTTTGAACCCTGCGAATGAAACATACTTTTGCATAGGTTATTATAATTATTTTACTCATTTCAACATTTAAATCATTTTCTATTTATCTAAGTAGCTCTTTATCTTGTTTTACAATCTTAATATTGAAGTTATAGCTGATGATTGTTATCTTTACCTTAAAAGGAGATTTATATATTTAATTTTAGTATGTTTCACATTTTAAGTGCTCATCTATGAAAAAGATAAGGCCCACTAATAACACAAACCCGGACACAAATGTGATAAGCAACTGTCATAGAATTGATAAATGGTCCTTGCTGTATAAATAGCCACAAATTATTTAGGTAAAGCATACACTAAAAGTGACTAATACTTACCCTGTGCAGTCTGGCATACTCAACTGTTATTAAAATGTGCTGTTTTATTTTAATAATCTTACTTACAGAGCTCAAGGTATCTACGTGTATAAATCCTCTAATAAATAACACTCCTTACCACATCACTGTAAACATAAGGATTGCAAACACAAAGTGGGCTATTCTTTTCCATAAATTTTAGAAGCCTGACAAACATCTGCATCAAATCTCTGTATACTGTCTCTCTAAAACAAATATTTTTTAGTTTAAATTTATGATTTTTTTATTTAAAACTAAATAAGTCACATTGTTAAAGAGACAGCAAAATGCCTTGTCTTAACTAAAATGCAATAAACTTTGGAAGGCTTCAAAACAGTATCCTCTATGTATCTTTATCTAAATATACAATTGCACACTGCTGAAGATACATTACTTGTCAAACATAAATTTGAGTACAGATACATAAAAACACTAGTATACTTTTACAGTCCTTTAAAGGAAAATTGGTAATTGTTAATTGCACTTCAAATGTAGGCAACAAATTTTTTCTTCCTTCCATTGCTAGCAATTTCCTATATAATACTAATTAATACATTTCTTGGTGTGGAATAATACAAGCATTCAAAGAACTGTATAGAAAATGCATCTTAATAGCCTCCTTTTGAGGTTTTTTTTTTTTCTTTCCTAAACACTTCTGGATTTCCTGATGAAGTTTTGCACGAAACTAAAGGAAGAAATCTACCTTCAATACATATACAATATAGATTACATACCTGTGTAAACTAAAGTGTGGTTTCTTCCACAAGCAGCAAGTTTCGTTTTTTCTGGTTTTAAAGCTATAAATTGAAGAGGAAAATTTACCAACAGGTTGATAGATAGATGGTTCAACAACAAAATGTTGCAATGCTCTACAGTGGGTTGTTTTTTTTTTCATATTTTTACCCATGGAATGTAAAGCTACAACTTTAGTTGGCTATCTGAGCTTAGCACATCACTTTCATTCCGTGTAAGAAAGGGAAACACATCGGTCTAAAAATCTTGTAGCTGCCACGACACTGTCTTTATCTCAAACACCACCCACCCAGGCAGGTACTTCTCAGCAGCTTGGTCACGGTGAAAGACTGGTAATGTGTGTAAGAGGAGTTATACAGAGTTATTTCAGTGAGAAACACTGATTACAGGGGTGCCTTTTCTCCCAGGCTAAGCGCAGCCCATTTCAGAAGCAGAGGAGAACCAAATTTACTGGCCTTTCCCTCCTCTCTCCAATTACTGATCTTTGCCTTAACTTCTATCTTTCCTCTACCGTGTTTATTTACCCTATACAATAATTTTGATGCTTTTAAAACAGAATTACTTTTACATAATATGATTTTGAAGTCACTTTCCCACTACACTGGTCTATGACAAAGCTGGCAGCCATCATTTCTTTCACAAAGTCTTACTCAATCCTTCCAACCCAACCTTTATCAGCTTTGTAGCACTGAGATTATGCTCCCTTTTACTTTCTACCAAATCACTAAGTGTGAATTGTCTCTGGTGTGTCCTGCAGGCACAAACATAAATCCTCCAAACTCTGAGCCCTGCCTATTCTACCTGACACCTACCACAGACTGGAAACTATGGCATTTTCAATGTTGGCCTCTTCTTACATTCTTAATTCGTTGCTTTTTATCCCTGTGCTCTGCCTCCTGCCTCAGAGATGATCTTAATGACTCCTCCATTGGTCTGTGCTCCCTATTCTTCCTCCTACTTACACTAACAAATTGTAACAGATATGCAATATTTACAACATTTTGGGTATTTTTTTGTCCAAAAAAAAAAAAATATATATATATCATTAGCTTCTAGTCAAATGTAAGACTTGTTTTTTAGAAAACACGTGGCCACAAAAATTCGGTCCAAGCAGAAGTTGAAAAGCGTGTCTTTGCAATCCCATTGCCAAAGCCAAGCAATGCCTGAAAGCTCATGAAAAAAAACTCCAGGGCCTTCTCCAGGCATCTACTGCCAAGAGAAGACAAACGCCCCTGCCTTGTCACATTTTTCAATGAAAGCCAGGCTGGTTTTGAATTCCTGACATATTCTCTTTGACTTTTATTGTCCTTTGCGATTTGATAGTTCAAACAAAGATAGATACTCCATTCATTTAAGCCAAGGTAAGAATCAGCCTTTCACATGTTTGACAAAAGACGTGAACCTGGGAGCGGCTATTCTCCCTCTAAAGTAAAATGCAGAGAGAGGAGCAGATAAAGACAGCAAAATACACTAAAACAGGAAGGAGTTAGTTTGAGCAAACTCATTAATTTGGTTTTAATGAAAAACTAACAGACTGACCTGCTGACAGAAAGGATGAGAGTAAATAGATTTAATGGTGTAGAGGAACACGTTAATGGCACGGATCTGATCTGACATAAGTAAGAGGACAGGAGAAAATACTGACTTGTTAGTTTTGTTTGACCACACAATATGCCTGGGAAAGATTAAACAGATAAGTAAATGGGACGGAAACGTATTGCACAAAATATAACAACATATGGGCATTTATTTTACTGCTTTTTTCAGACTTCATACAAATATATTAACATTTATGTCCCCCTCGGGCACTTATTACCCTTGCTAAAATATAGTAACGCTTGTAGAAAAACTCCATTTCTAGTTTATAGATTTTTTTAGTTTATAAAGGAACAAAGATAAATATGATACAAACATTACATACAGTGCTATTGCAACCCTTAATCTCTAACAATGCACAATATGGCAGAGATCAAGCACTGGATCAATTTCTCTGCAATCTGGGATTTCCCTGCAATGTGAAGACATGCAGAAAAGAAAAATATTACACAAAATGAGAACCCTCAAAAAGATAAGATTGTAACTATCTGAAAAGGTAGGATTGTAACTGTTTGAAGAAAACTTCATGCTGTACTTAGAATCTGACAATGACAAAAAATCCACCAGGGATCCTTTTAAACTATCTCTGTGTGCTTGTACAATAATATGCTGAGTATGTGATGAGTAAAGAAAGCAGAATCAGTTATTTTGGAACTGCATATTACAAAGCACTTTTTAATGCAGGTCACTTTTCAAAAAGACAAAAAAAAATCAAACAAACCTTTAACACATGTTGGTTTGCTGACAGTATTCTTTGATCCTAGTCCTAATTGGCCCCAGTTGTTACTGCCAAACATGTAGAGTTTACCATTTCCTGAAAAAAAGGGCACAAGAACCCATAGGAGAGTTTGATTATTCAAAAGCTTTATAAATGTGGGCAACAAAAAGATGGTCAAAAGATGGTCAATCACACATAACACTATTTACTACTTCCTTTTTAATGCAACTTTTAAAATTATTCAAATCCATACTGTAATATAAATAGTAACTACTGTCCTTGTGCTTTTACAGGAGAAAAGCAATAATTACATTACATATATCAAGAACTGTGTTTTTTTCAGTACTTTAATGCAGTACTTTTGTTCTGCATTTGGCTCCCTTTGTTAGTGACATTGACCAAGTTAAAAAAAAAAAAGATTTGTTTAATGGATGGTATAACTAGTAGCTTTGTCATGATCAAAAGATCCTTGGACTTTAGGGGGATGCACACAATCAGGACAAAAAAAAAGAAAAACACACTGAAATGATCTCAGTAGATAGCATGAATCTATTACTCTCAAACAAATTTTACATAAACCTACTTAGTGGGAAATTCTCAGTCAGAAGAATCCACAAAATGGCAGACCCACTTCCTGAGGTTCAGGAATCAAAGTATCAACAGAACCACTAATAAAACAGCAGTTCATTTAACTGAGGATCCACATCTATTACTCCAGAATTCATAATATTCACCTTACTTTATTGTTGAAAGCAGGAAAGTCTATTTTATTACCGTCAAATATCTTCTTCTTGATCTTGAAAGGATTTACAAATACGTGCTTCTACAGAACATGCTTTATGATAAATTTTCAAATGTGTTTGCAAGTTATGTGTGTTCTTCTTTGGATACATATGTCCACAGACATATAAGCCTTTTTGGTTCTCTGTATCTTTCACCACGGAGTATTTTGGTATTCTCATATAAGAATAGAATGTATAACAATCAGACAGTCAGGCAGTTTTGAACACCTAAATGCAAACGTTATGTCACAAAACTATGCAGAAATAGTCATGGAATCATGTCAGAAATTGATATGACACAGCTTTCGATTTACAAGTTTGACCATTCCAAATGCCTCTTTTAACTCAGAAAAATCAAAGTTTTTTAGAGGATGATACGTGAATGGATTGATGAGCTTGAGACATGCAGATCAGATACTGAACTGTGACTCCTGATAACACCTTCAAGAATTTTTTTACATTATTTTTAAATATTACCATTTGTAAAGCTGTAAAGCCCACACACAAAGACAGAATCCATGTTCCAGCAGAAGTCCTTCCAAAGCATCAGATGTTTCCAAAATCAAGGTGTTAAATAAATCTTTTAGAACAACTACAAAGTCACTGTTTACTTTTGCTGGAACTTTGCAGCCCTTTGCGAGTTAGGGATTCCAACACAGAGCTCTCACATAAATGAACTTTCAGTCACCCAGCTACCAATAACTATCACATGAGCACAACACGTAACTGCAATTCCACACAGTCGTACCAAAATATTATGGCTGTTCTGTAGTTAAGTAGCCTGGGTTGCTGGAGGAGGTTTCTGAATGCAATTTACAGAGTTTGATGTTATACTTCTTTTGTTTTTTTAAATGCCTACTCTGTTATATAAAAAAAAATCCATTTTCCCCTCTAAAATATAACCATATAGTTAAAAAGAAAAAACAAAGCAACGCCCCTCCCCCCAAAAAACAAACAGAAACCCAACAATAAGTTGGGTTCTCTAAAGACAAAACCAAATTCTTGGATTGAATGACTTTTGAAATAATAGCAATCTGTCAGTAGTAGCTCTTACCAATGAAGCAGGGAGAAATCTGAGGTGAAATTACATTAACAATTTAATTAATAGTATTTATACCATCATTCAAGCTGTTGATTATGCAGTCAGGTTAAAATGCATACACAATTGCCTGAGAGCAAAGCACACCTTTGAAATGTAGCATCCTACGCTGCTGTAGGTATCTCTACACCCTCTTCTACACCTAATAAAGGCCTTTTTGAGAGAGCAGCACTCACGTGGAAGCAAGATACCTGGCTGCCATCATTCGATTTGATCACACTGTAGTTCATCCATTCAGAATTCCAGTACCGGCTGGGGGCCGCCAGCTGGAGAGCAGCTCTGCAGAGAACGTGCCTGGGAGTTTTGGTGGCCACCATGCTGACCATGGGCCAGCAACACATCCTTGTGGCAAAGGTGGCCAGCTGCCCCCCGGCCAGCAGGCCCAGAGAGGTGATCCTTCCACCCAGCACTAGCAAAGCCACACTTGGCATGATGGGCCCACTTCTTAAGCATAAGAAACCTCCTTTTTTAACTTTACTTGAACAGGAAGGTAGGACCAGATGATCTCCTGGTCCCTTCTTAATTCAACTATTCTGTGATTCTTTTCATCCTATAATCTGCTACTTCATGTAGCAGTCTGTTAATTCAGATGTTGCTTCTGAAGTCAAGAAGTTTAAGAGATGAGAGGATTTTTTATATGTAACAACTGGGTGACAGCCTTTTATAATTTCAGGCTTCCAGCACTTATCAGCATAACAGAAAACTGCAAAGTAGATAATTCAGACAGTGAATTCAGACCAACAGGCACTGCAGAGCAACCAAATCAAATGCCTGTAAAGAAAGAACACATCTGGGTTCTGGAACAGAGACACGATGCAATCTGAGCTGGCCAGGAAATGTGACAAAATTTTGCATGCAAAAAGCCCTACTTCTGTAATTGCATCCTGAGCTATCTCTAGTCATCACCACAGTTGCATTGAAGTGAAAATTACTTCAACAGCAGATGAATAGGCAAGGATCAGAGTTCAAAACCTTGCAAACTTGAATTGCTTGTCGCTTCCTTTTTGGTGCTGATAAATGCAGAGCGTGGCTGGCTGCCATCTGGAATGGCTGGCAGAAGACAAGTCCAGCAGAGCAAGATTAATTACTCCGGGTAACAGAAGGGAAATGAGAATATCAAGAAACACACCACCGGGATTGTTTTGGTGACAGAAATGCATACTCCCAACTCTAGGCTTCAGGTTCCTCCTGAGGCAAGACTGGGGAACTTCTCCAAAGTATCTATATATTGGCACAACACTAGCGGATGTCCCACCACTATTTGGAACTATTAGGGAAGTCACGGGATGCTTAGATCTTAAGGGACAGAGAACTTTGTGAGAGACAAAGAAGAGGTGCTTCCTGACCAGCACCTTTCCCATATGGGTGGCTGCCCTCAGAAACGTGATTCCTGGCAAATCCACCCATCATGAGCACCTCTGGTTCATGAAGCTAGAACAAAGGCATTCATACAGCAGCAGGGAATATCAGCTGAGCAAAAGTTGCCTCATGGTAAGATGCCCTGATAAGAAAATAGCCAGTAGACAAGAATTCCTATGACTGATGTTTAAAGATACGTTTTACATTATTTTCTCTGTTGAGTTTTAAATGATACTGGTAGGGGGAGACATAATATAGGCAGACTATGTACAGATTTTGAGTATTTATATATATTGCTGATTGTAAGATTCTTTCAGGAAGCTACGCCTGCGCAAAACTTCAGGACAGAGAATAAAATGCCAGGCACCACAGTTCCTTTGTATTTATTTGTGCTATTTTGTGAATAAACCACTTTAACAGTCCATTTAAAAGCCGTATTCAAATCAAATGCATCTCAGGAGAACGACATGACAAATCTCATGACAAGTTATGATATTCCCCAAATACAAGCTTTATGGCGCAATAAAAACAGCAGTATTTAGGACACAACACCATACAAACGAAAAGAGCTCAGCATGTTGCTTACTTCATACTTTTGCTGATCTTTGGTACGTGTCGGAGCCATCTTCCTTATTTTTCCCTTGAAGGTGATTGCAAAAGATACTATGACATGTTCTGATGGCCTGTTGCTAGGCAGAAAGAAGGGATTTGTGTCCAAAGACCTGGAGAGACTGCGGTGTCTCTGGTGTAAACTGTTGAATGTTTAACGCCTTACAATACTTGAAGTTACATGCATAATATCACGTTGTGCTTCCCCATATGCCTCTTCTCACTTCTATTTTTTCACTCGAGACTTCTTTCTTCGTTCTACTCCCTCGCACTGGGGACTTCATTCCCTCCAGAGCTCTGAATCTAAAAAATGAATCTTCTGTCATCACCATCTTCCCCTTCACAAAGGGCCAGTCTCTCTGATCAAGTGTGGGCAAGCTGCCTAGGACACCCTAATCAAGGCCAATAAAGAATAAGATGGATAACCATTAATTTTAGCAAATGTGCAGAAAAGAAAATATATTAAGAGTAAGGAATTGAAAATAAATTCTTAAAAACATACTCAAGAACACTTACTTCAGAACAGCTCCCAACTGGAGGAATATACATGGTTGCTTTCTGAAGCCTGCAGCTGTAAAAAGATGTAGTGAGCGGACAGTCAGTATTCTTGGGCCAAAATGTAAGAGTAAGGTAATAAATGTTGTTAAACATATCACAAGTGATGCTGGAAGACAGATTGCTCATGATAGTGTTAAAGGTCTAAGGAACTAGCTTGTAAAATACTTCCTTGAACATTTTAATCAAGACCATGCCAGAGGAAGAGAAATGTGAATAAAGAAGTAAAAAAAATAACCCAAAACTCCAAAAGCAGAGGAGAAAAATGTTCCCCTGACTAGGCAAGCAAGACAACTCAAAGTCAGAAAGAAACCGTCACTGCTTCCATCTATTTGAACACACAACCACAGTATGTAGATAAAATTTATTTTGGACTGTAACTCCTAAGAAGTCAAAGAACAGACAGCTTTATATTTACTTTATGCTTTTCATCCTAAAAGTGATATAGAAATATTGATGTTGGATTAGACGAAAGTAGTATTTGAAATTTTCTGAATATTTTTGTTTGAAAACAGAATATTAGTTCCTGTGCATTTTCGTCACTTGCATTCAGTCAATTTTCAGTGCTACATGTAGCTGTCTCTCTTGCCCAAAACAAGTTTTTTGGAACGTGAAATCAGTTTGAGTGATTATTTTGTTAATGATTACCTTATTATAAATCTGATATATTTCGATCAGATTTAAATCTAGCAGTATTCCTACTTTTCCCTATATACAGAGGTCCTAATACCTCTCCCAGCATGAAAAAAAAAAGGATAGGGCAATTCTGTGCCAGAAAAAATGAAGCACATGTTAACACCCACCTGCTCGAGATGCTTCCCCTTCCTCACAAGTTTGTTGAGCTCTTCCAGGCCAGGCCAGGCTCAGCTGTTTCTCAGGGAGCTCCTGGTTCCCCACGAGACCTGCGCTCCTCTCGCACACTTCTGGGTTCCTCTACTCCAGGTGTTGCCAACGTTAAATGGCATCCGCTGAGGGCTGCAATTCCAGTGCATCATCCCACTCTGCCAGCAGCGTGTGGTGCATGGTGCACATGTACATGCACAGGTGCCAAAGACAGATGAGGGACAGACATTTTCTGTAGGCCTTTGTCTTTTTGTATCACAGCTGCAGGTTCTCTCCCGTTGATCCATGAGGATCAGTACTTTGCTCTTGTTTTTGTTTCTACTTTAAAATGCCCTAAAAAAACCTCTTGGTATAAAATCAATTTTGTACCCTCACTTCTACCCTTCTCTTCCAAAGTTTTGAGAAAAATAAGATATTTTTATTTAGAAGTTCCCTTGGTGACACGTTTTCACACTGCAACAGCAAATGCCAGCTACAGATACGTTTTGGAAACACAGAGGGCCAATAGACAAAGATAGAAGATAAAGGATACTGAATGCAACTGTGATCTCTTAGGTAAGCTTAAAAAGCTGAGCAGATTGTTGCTGGTTAGGTAACAGTGTTGGCACAGGCACACACCAGGGGAATTCGAAGAGGAAATTTAAATTAACCAGTCTAAACTTAGAATAATTCTAGTGCTTTTCCAATTTGGGTACTACCATTTGGAAAGATGTATTAAAATGAAAAAAATCAAAAGAAAATTTCCGCAGTACTCAGGGTTATATTCTGACAAATTTTATGCAACAGACAATCTAATAAAATACATTAAATCCAAGATGCATAACGTTTTGTACAAAACATAATCTATTCATGGTTAAATCACCTTCTATGAAATGAGGCTTGAACAATTGGTTGTATAATTTTATCTGAAGATATTCTGGAGTCCATGCAATCTATATTCCTCTTTTATCATGCTTGAAACTGTCCTTTCTAAAAAAACATCAGCATCCTCAACTTTTCTGGGGGACATGGCAGGAAACCATCAACAAGAATTATTTAATTACCAATGCCCCAAATAAACCATAGGACATTGCTAGTGAATTAAGATATTTCTGTAAGAAAATTCTGAAAACACACTTAAGATTTTCTTACTACAAAGTTTCTATTATCTGTCAGAAGCCAGTTTTCAATATAACTGACACATGTTCAACAAATTGGTCTCTCTCGTGTGATTTTAAATAGAACAAATTCTTCAATGAGCATTGCTTCAAAGAAATGAGAGGGAACATTAATAAAGACAGTACATTGCCTCAGAGCTTCTTGGAATGTTTTTGTAATTTGTGATTTTAGTAGGATTTTTGAAGGTTTTTATCCGCTCCTTCAATGGTTACTTTCAGTTCACATTCAATCAGTATTTCAAAATTTATTTCCTGAGAATTCTATATACTGTTTCAAGCAGGTTCCCAGTGAACTTTTTAACTGTTGTCAGCAAATCCCATTTACTCCCATGACACAAATCTCTCTGTTTAAGACTGTTAGCTGGACAACATCAGTTTTGCATAAAGTATTCAAACTGAGCAACATCATGATTAGTTTAGAACTTACATAATACATACCAGTCCTTAATACAATTCACTCGTGCATTCCTGAGCATATCTTGGGAAATCCTTAGGTCACCTTTCAGTAACTTCAGTCATCTGACATTTAAAAAGGAGTTCCCTCTCCTCTAAACTCATTTTTATATTATTTCTACCTAAAAATTCACATGATTTCATATGAAGTCATAACTTCCAAGCTGTCCAAACATACAACCTCTTATCATATACTTCATTTCCAATACTGACCTGTAACAATAGCAGTGTGCTCATCTCCACATGATATGTGTACAGGTTTGTCATTTTTGAACCAGAACTTGCTAGGAATGTTTTCTGCAAAACTGCTTTTTCCGAATGTGAAAACAGCACCTGACTCTAAAACATAAAAAGACAAGGTCAATTTTAGTGCAAGGAAATCATGCCTCATACATGTAATACAGTAACTTCTTATCTGATTACATATTTTAGTTACTTTTTTTCCCTATTTAAAAATGATTGAAGAGTTTTCTCCCATTTCACCAAGACGCCTTCATTTTCAGCCTCATATTTTGGTCCTCCAGTTTCTTCCTAGTGTCCAAGAATCTCCTATGAGACTAGGTATTGTTTCAAGGTACTGTTTTCCAAGGATACAATAATTTACTTGAAAGCACAATAATGTACTTTATCAGTGCCATCTAAGAAAAACTAGTAGATACAAGAGACAGAAAAAAACTCTGAGAAACTGTCCCCATACAGCAAATAAAAGACTGATCCTGAAAGCAGGTTGAGACCAAGAGTTCTCACTTACGTTTATGCTTGAATTCAAACAGATTTTCCAAACTGCATTAGAGAGATACACACATACACACTGTAAAGAGGTGACAGGCTCCAAACTGACCACTCTTCCTCACTCATCTGCAAAGATACGCGTGCTCAAAAATGGCCCCTAGAATCAAAACTCTTAGCCTCCAAAACCACGAGTTGCCACAACTGCCTTCGATCACATGACTGTGAACTAAAACAATGGCACAAAACCACCCCAGAACATAACCCAGATAGATTATAAGGGTGGAAGTGCTATCTGGTTTTCTCACTTCTTCACACTTTCAAAAGCAAGTGTCAGTACTGCTGTTTTAAATGATCTAAATTAACTATTTGCTCAGCTTGTAAAGGAACTTGAGTGTTTTGAGAATACTTTTCATCAAAACACTTCAAAATACTTCCTCAAAATTTAAAGATTGAACCAGGACTGTAACCATTTGAATCATTTGTCTTAGAAAATATTCCTTCTACAGGAAAGTAATAGAACGACATTGTGCCAAAGCAAAATTGGCGCCTATTTTAAAATTTCAAATCTTGTGCTTTAACTACCACGTCATTCTTCAGCAAATGAAAAAAAAAATAGAATTTACAATGTTTTGAAGAATAACTAATATGCTATAGTAAATGAATATACAGAATAACAGCTGCTTCTGTTACAAAAGTAACATTGTTTACGCAGAAAATACACCGAAATGTTGAATTACATTCAATGATCTGCACCCCACATTCAATACCCAAAGTTCTCTCTTACCTGTAAATTTGATATTCATTTGTATAGTTCTTTAACATAACAGTTTTTCCATATTTACAAATGACTCATTATTTTATATACTCCTTTCAAGCAAGTTTGTATTTGCTGCCTATGGGTGCCTTTGATTTTGTTTTATAAAAAACAAGACTTTGTGTAGAAGAATTCAAACTTTATAAGTATATAAGCTTGCAATCGTGGGTATACAGGCAGGATTTATCTAAAAACATTATTTTCATTTTGGTTTTTAATCCCAGCCTGGAAAGACACCCACACTGAATATCATTTGAACCTTCTTACAGAGATCTTTCTGGCACTAGTGCTACAGGACAGATCAGAAACATGAGACAGAAACATTAACAAGCAGAAGAACCATATAATTTTTAGTTTAGGGCACACACACAAAAACAAAACAAACAAATAAACAAAAAAGTAGTAGTTCATACTGCCTCAGCTAAGTGTCCTTTACAGCTCATGAATCGCACACCCGAAATCCAAGTTGCCGACCGGGAAACCAAACCCAAGTAACTTTTAAAAGTGAGGTCCGCCAAGCACCAAGGAGTCGCTTGAAGTCTCAGAATGAAGCGGCTGCTCCCAGTCTGTCCCGGGTCAAAGCACAGAGCAAATCCCACCTTTCCCTGGGATTCCTCCCTAACGGCAGGACGGCCCCGGCGGGCAGCCCCACGCCGAGCGATGTCTCCCCGGACGCCC